GACGTCTTAAGGATGTCTTTTTGCGTCTTTAAGAAGTCTTAAAGACGTCCTATAAATGTTCTATGTCTTGGCCATTAGATGTCTTTAAGATGTCTAAAAGACGTCTTTTTTCAAAATAGAAGAATTCCCATAAATAGAAAATATTATTTTCTAAGTTCAACTTGGACTTAGAAATTCATGAATGTAAAAATCATTGAAATGTTTCCAAGTTAAATTCATTTCATTGACAAGTGAGATCGTTAACTTTGTAGAGGTTCATATCTGTTTTGAACGGATGAGGTGCTTAAGGCGCTGCTGCGGTTTAACCCAGAAAATCCATCATCATCACCAAAATTCGAGATAGATACAGAATTTTTTTGTTCATTTGAGATGTTAAAATTAATGTTACGTAAATTAAATAGAAAAAAATCAGCGGGTCATGATAGAATCCCCAACTTAGCATTAAAAAGGCTACCAGATAGTCTAATATAAGGCAGTTGGTGATTCTGTTTAATAACCTGCTAAACAATGCGTATTTCCACAGGAAATGGAAATTGGCTAAGGTCGTTCCAATATTAAAAAAAATAAAAATCCGAATTCTCACAAAAGCTATAGACCGATCAGTTTGTTGCCAAACTTGGGGAAATTTTTTGAAACAAAAATTAATAAAAGTTTAGTTAAATTTACAGATACGAATAGAGTAATACCCTATGAACAATTTGGATTCAGAGCTAAATGCTCAACGGTTCATGCAATTTCGAAATTTACAGCGGACACAAGTGACGCATTGTGCGAAAATAAATTTGTAGCGACGTGCTTAATCGATGTCGAAAAAGCATTCGATTCAGTCTGTCTGGACGGCCTAATATTTAAATTGATAAAAAAATCAGTGCCCGAACATTTGATTACAATAATTTGGAGTTTGGTAAAGGATAGAAGAATATATGTATTTCTCGATGAAAAGGCTAGTTGCGAAGAATATGAATTATGAATATGAATTATTCAACATTTACACAAGCGACCTGATAAAGTCTGATGATATGAACATTGTTAAAGATGTTAAATGTATAGGTTTTGCCGACGATTTGGTTGTGTATGTAATTTCTGAATGTTTGTTTGCAGCGCAAGACAAACTGTGTAAACTATTCAAAAATGTATATAACTTCCTGGGTGCATGGAGACTAAAAGTTAATGTTGAAAAATGTGATACCATACTTTTCAGGCCGCTGGTCGACTGTGTAAAAAAATACAGGTTAAAGTGGAGAAATTTTGCAATTCAAATTGGCGAAGATGAAAATAATAAATTAAATCATAAAAGGCTAGTCAGATACCTAGGCATCGATATAGACGATAGATTAAAGTTCGTATTACATGTAAATGCAGCTCTGGAAAAGGCCAGAAAGGCATTTTTTGCGAATAAGAGATTATTTTTTTCATCGAGATTATATTCTAAAGTCAAAATAATATGTTATGTACTTTTGATTAGACCGATTCTCACCTACGGCTGCCATATTTGGTATGGCATTTCGCCATCACAAATGGAGAAATTAAGATTGTTTGAGAGGTTTTGCTTGAGGATATGTTTACGCATGAGACTTACGTCTCAAATCAAAAAATATATGACGCGGCGGGTATACCGAGAATTGATATTTTTATATTAGACTTGATAAGAAATCATATTGAAAATGTTAATAAAAATCAAATAAATCCGCTTATCCCGTCTTTATTTGGGAAGGATGACGCGAGTTTAAGAAAAAAGTTGGACAAGGGATATCTCTCTGTGGATGTGTATTGTGTATACGTACCTCGATAGGCACGAATACATACAAGATCAAAATAATATTCCATTGTTGTATCATGTATCAAGGCACTCGTCGGTGAAATGAGTCATAAGGTCAAACACGAAGGATATAGAGAGAGAGATGTAACAATTATTTTAAAATACTCCACAGCGATAGCAAGAAATGTTAAAATGTCAAAACCTGAAAATAGAAAATGGAAATATTGGTGGCTTAAAGACCACTAGAATTAATAAAAGTATCATTATTGCTTGTGAGGTAATTTATTGTATCTTACATTATCTTTTTTCTTTTCTTTTTTTAAAGCTTCAATTGAGGCGGGGTGACCATTTTTTATATACCTCAGGGTAAATTTTTTTTAATGGTTGAATGAAACTTAATTATTGTACATGTATGAAACTAGAATGAAAACTGTATGGTGAAATTATATAGAAAAAAAAAATTTAATTCGACGAGCGACCTTGCGTCCGATCGGAAAAAACAGTAAAAAATTATATACTGTTATATGGCGAGTTTTTTCATTGTTTATCCGCCAAATTTTTTGTAATTCTATGTTTGTTAAAATAAATAAACGAAAAAAAGGTGCTTAAGGCGCAGTGCTTCAAGCCCAAGGTATCCGACTTCGATCCCAGCTTCGTAGGAATTTTTTCATTATTTCTCCACATTTTAGAAAAAATAAAATTAAACTTGAAATAAATTTAATACTATATTACTGTGTTTCAACTTAGAAAATGTTATAAAAGAAATGTCTATTTAAGATCTGAAAGAATATAAAAAGGACGTCCAAAAGTCCCTTTTATGTCTTCCCGTGTAGAAATTGCCATGTTATGGCCTACACAATGATCAAAAGATCTGGCCCCGATTTGGGCCATGGTTAAATTTCTACACGGGTTTTAGACGTCCAAAAGACGTCTTTAAGACGTACTTTAGACGTCCTTTCTTATGTCTTTTAGACGTCTTTTGGACGTATAAATTCGTAAAAATGACAATTTGAAAAATGCCAGTTGGCATAAATGACAATTCGCAAAAATGCCTTTTCGCAAAAGTGACAATTCGTAAAAATGTCGATTCACAAAAGTGCGTTAAAATAACAGTTCGGATAAATAAAATTCGGTAAAATGACAGTTCGGACAAATGACATTTGGGGAATAATCATGCACCTCCATTTTTGGCACTTTTTAAACTGCTATAAAAAATTATCGCGATGTGATAAACATTTCAAATAGATCTTAAAAGAGAGCTCAAACCTTCAACTTTAATCTTCAAAAGCGAAAACTGATGTGTCAATAACAGAAAATTGTGAGAACAGCTTTTTACCCTGTGCACGCAGCAGTTTTCATTGCTCCCGTGATTTGAAGCAATGTTTTATAATCGGCTTTTTTTTAAGTTCTTACAGGTATATGTAATAAAATTTCCACTAGTCTAGAAAGTTTTCGGGGTTGTTGATTATTAACCTGAAGTCAGTTTTTGAAAATTCAAAATGGTGGATCCATTATGTTTCAAATCACGGAAGCAATGAAAACTGCTGCTCGCTCGGAGTAAGTTTTCACTTCTGAAGACTAAAGTTGAAGGTTTAAGCCCTCTTTTAAGCCCCATTTAAGATGTTCATCACGTCGCGTTAATTTTTTTAAGCTGTTTGAAAAGGGCCAAAAATGCCATTTTTTGGCATTTAGATTCGTAATCTACGGGAAAAATCCTTCAAGAATCATTAACCTTTATTCTTTCGGCGTCCCCTTAATAAATTTTCAGGAAATTTTTGGTGCTGTGGGGGAAGCTGACGTTTCTAGCTTTAATTTAAGTAAATGTAGAATATTTTTTGGTGAAAAATAAAACGAAGCCCTACATTAAAGAACCGGGTAGAATCAGGAATCTACTTGCTTTGAGTTGGTTATTGCCACGTAAGTTCTAATTGCAAATCAGTAAGTAAGTATTTTCAACTGGTTTCAACACTTTTTTCTAAGATTTGTCTGAGTTTTATGTTAAATTGCAGTCTTTTTTAGTCTTTAAAGGAAAAACTAGACGGCAATAATTAGCTAAATGTATCGGTTCTTTCCTATACGTATTGCCAACGTTTATAATAAGACGTAAATGGCCAAAAATTCTGAGAAAAATCATATGTTTCTACAAATTAATCTAAAGACGAAACTCAACATTTTGTTTCTTTCGTTTCCTTAAATTGTCAGTGACAATCCTTAAGGTACGGCAATCATGAGCCCCTACAGCGAAGCTTTATAATTAGTGGGTTCTAACTTGAGATACTGTAAATATAAATACTTGGAATAATTATGACACTGCATACTGCAAAAAAGAAGTATCTTAATTTAAGATGTTTTGGTAGTCATTTCTAAGATGTTTTGGTAGACACTTTTTTGTTACTTGAAATATCTTAATTTAAGATGTTAAAAGTATCTTCGTAAACATTTTCAGTATATTTTTTAGGAAGAAAGTTTTGAGGTTTACTATGGGCTCATATGTAGAACACTTTATGCATCTTAGTTTTTAATAACTTATATTTTTGTCGCATCTTACAATCACAAGTAACTTGTCGCTAAACATCTTATTGGATCAGAAACATCTTAATTTAAGATACTTTAAAAAACTTGCCGAAGTAGCTTACTTTTCTAAGATGGAAGAAATATCTTTATCACTGCTAAAACGTATAAAGCATCTTAGATATCAGTAAGATACTTTAGAAAAGATCTTACTTTAAGATCTAAGATACCATTTTTCGATCTTACATCTTATTTTAAGATATCAAAACATACACTTATTTTTGCAGTTGGGTCGAGAGCCGGCCACAATAATCTCACAAAAATTTTAAAACCTTTATCCAACACTAAGAGTGGTCCAAATTTCATTAAATTGGTAATGTTAGTTCTATTCGCTATCGAACCTCCTGGTGTACTTGAATTTAAATAGACAACTAGCTAAGATACATTAAACTATTAAGTATGGTTAGTAGAACATCCATTGCTTTATCGTGTAGCTATCAATTAATAAATTAAACTTGTATCCTGATAAATAAAGTGATAGAAATAGAAATGTGTCAGTGAAGAAAGAAACATTCTACTCTGTCCAAGTATTCATTTTACTAATATGTGAATTAGGGGATAGCCTAACAATTGACGTAACGCGATCTACAGATCGCGTTTGATCAAACTTGAAAATCATCTGATAAATATCACATTACTTGATTTTACTAAGTAGAATAATTTTACTTACGAAAGAATTTTAGGAATCTTGCGTGTAGGAACTGTTGTTACTAGTTGGCCCCACAAAAGAGTACCGATTCCAAAGAATAGACACCACATCCATTGCTCTAACGTTAATGCTTTTGTGCTGAATGCCATCTTACCATACTGAATAATAACTATCTGTAAGAATTTTATTATTTTGGTGAATGATTTTTCAATTTCATACGTAAATTATTACTTAACAAATATAATTTTGATTTTTTTAATTTTTCTTTTTTTAAAAAAGACCAACTCGGGTTTCATTCATATTCAATGTGATATCAAGAGCAAATGTATTCTTACTTGTGAAAGGCATGTGCCTATCCAAATTGAATAGAAGATAGGATTAGTAAATATCCCCTGGAAGACATTTCTCTGGCCATGAATTTTTCGAGCATTAAATTCATTAAATAAAGTCATCATAACGAAAGTATTAAAAATAACAGTAAAATGTTGGGTGGGCCCTTGGTCATGTTTATTCCGACCTGTTTCGATGCCAAGAAGTCTGTCACCTGAAGGATAAAGATGCTTTTTCAATAAACAACAATTCTATGGAGAATAGAAATACTTTGAAATCACGATTAAGACAAAAAGTTAGAGAATACGATATATTTTATATGTAAAAAAGTAAAAGTTTTTAGACTGTAAAATGAAGTTAAAAATATTTGAGATTTACTGTCAAGTTTTGGTTATATTGATTATAAATGAAAGGTCTTCTATAGTAATCGTAATTTCAAGCAGAAAAGATAAATCGATAAATGCTTACCAACAAAGAGAAGCGTAAAAATAACAGTCAATTGATAAATTGCTTGCCCAATAATGTTTTTCATCATCGTTCGCGATATAAGAGGTTTTGTTCTACCATAAGGCCTCCGAAGAAGGAGATCCGGAGTTGGTAGTTCTGTAGCTAAAGCAAGAGAAGCTAATGTATCCATTATAAGATTGACCCACAACATTTGTACTGCTTTTAATGGCGAATCTTGAACAGCACAAGCACCAATAAAAGCAACGATTACAGCAACAACATTAACGGTTAATTGAAACTGCAAAAACTTGGCAATACTGTCGTAAACGTTTCTGCCCCACATTACCGCCTTAACGATAGAAGAAAAATTGTCATCAGTTAAGATAATATCAGATGCTTCCTTAGCAACGTCGGTTCCAGCAATGCCCATGGCGAAACCGACGTCTGCTTTCTTAAGCGCTGGACCGTCGTTTGTTCCATCTCCGGTGACGGCAACTACTTCCCTGCTCACCGTTGCTTTGCTGTCAATGATGCCTTTCACAAGCGTGTATTTATCAGTTGGAGAGGATCTGGCAAGTACTCTCAGTTTGGGCCACACTTTGTCAAGAAGGTGTTGCTGCACTTCTCCGTGACTGTCTCTGATGCGCTTATTGAACTCTTTACCTTCTAATATGAGAAAGTCTTCATTTGGCTTTAAGATTCCACATTTGAGAGCTATCGATCTCGCGGTGTTTATATTATCACCCGTCACCATTCGCACAGTGATGCCAGCTTTCTGGCACCGCCTGATCGCGTCTGGCACCTCAGGACGAACGGGATCTTCGATTCCAACAATACCCAAACACGTAAGATTATTGACAATGTTTTCTTCATCCTCCCAATTAGGCTCGTTGTCTGAATGAACTTGATTAATTTCAGCCTTTCCAGGAACAAAATCTCGGTAAGCAATAGAAATTGTGCGGAGTCCGTCACATGCCATCGGTTCAATTACGTTCTTCACCAGGCGCTCTTGCATTTCCCTGGTAAATTTTTCCAGATGACCCTCTCGACCGTAAATAAAGGCACATCTATAAATAATCAAATTTTCAACAGATTACTACTATAAACTATATTAATTACTGTAAATTATTACTGTCAACAATTTGATGCAAAGCACCTTTCCTACGGCTAAAAATTTAATAACAATATTATTAAAAACGAGTAACTAAGTCTTTCTTTTCTTCAGAAGCGATTCAGATCATTACTAATTTGTTCAGTGGGTTAATTTAGTTCATTATTAACACAAAAGTCTCTATTTATGAATACAGAATTTCGACTGCGATCACTTTTGTTTATATTTTGACCAAAGGTTATAGAAAGAAAGGAATTTTCAGATGCTAACAGATAAGCAAAAAATTATTGACATAATCCCAAACTCAACATAAATTGTCTGAAGCAAGGAATTTAATAGAAAATACTGAAAACATCTTGAGGAAAATAAGTATTCTTCAGAAAAAGAATGGAAAAAATGAAAAGCTTTTCTTTTCAAGATGCTGTAAACATTTAATTTATTTTATAATCTTTTGTATAAAAACTAGAGCTGTGCAAAATTCGAACCGAATCGAGTTTTGTTCGAAAAACAAACATTGGGCGCTGAAATGTCGAATGTCGAATATTCGACATCCGAACTGGACTAGTTCGAATATCGCATTTTCGACATTCGAACTAAGCTAACTTGAATGTCGAATTTTCGACATTCGAACTAGGCGAAAAAATTCGAACAGTTCGGTTCGAATTATTTTGCACAGCTCTAATAAAAACTAAAGCATGGAGCCTGAATTTGGAATACTTAATTCCTCTGGGGTTTTATTTTTTGGAACATTTATGTTCTTGTGGATAAATTTGCTTGGATCACTTTAGATTAACTCCCTTTTTGGAGAAGATTTTTAACTCGAAAAATGTATTTCACTTCCGATGCAATTTACTCTCTACATTTTTTTAGAGCGTAATTTACTAATCCAACAAAATAAGGCAATAAACTTAATTAGTCGTTAAGTTAATGAACGATTAAAGCCAGTTTCACTGCTCACGGTAGGTGGGTTAAGGATTTAATCATTGATTAACTTTTACTCGATGTTGCTTTTAGTGGCTAATTTTCATCAACAATTGAGACTAGGCATGTTAAAATATTAACAAGCCACAGTGGGCCAGGATCGTCGATTTTTGGCCAAAAATCATTATTTAAAAGAGAACAAGATATTTACGAATAACAAGTAGGCTACCTACAGTTTTTGGGGTCGCTGATTACGAATCTCAAGTCAGATTTCAAAAATTCAAAATGGCGGATCTAATATGGCGGACATAAAAATTTTTAAATTAATAAATTTGAATTAAACATAGGTATCTATGCGTTTTTTGGGTCGCTGATTACAAATCTGATGTCAGATTTCAAAAAATCAAAATGGCGGATCCAAAATGGCGGACATACAATTTTTAAAATTAATCGATTTTTATGAAACTTTGTATCTAGGGGTTTTTTAGGTCGCTGATTACGAATCTGATGTAAGAATTCAAGTGGATTTTAGATTGGGTGAGATTCGCCTACAATTTTTTGCTTGGGAGTTTTTCAGTTTGGTGATTACAAAACTAGTGTCTATACAATTCAGAAAATAAAAATTTTTTTCCTGTTATTAGCCTACAAAAATAAAAAGTACTGTAGTTTCCAGGATCTACCACGAGGAGGTTACAGGTAAAGATCCCATTTTGTATTTTTTTAGATTTTTAAAATTTTTTTGGTTTTTTTTAGACCTGATGTTTACTTATAGGTATATAGTTTATCGCGTGGGTATATCAGGTGCGCATGTAGTCCTATTGGAGAATCTGCTTTTGTTGCCATGGATCAGATAAATACTCCATTTCATATCTAAATTTGATTTCAGAAACAAAGTGCTCATTTTTACATTTTTAAAATCTGACAACAGATTCGTAATCAGCAACCCGAAAAACCTCTACATACCTATGTCTCATTGAAATTGATTAATTTAAAATTTTTTATGACCGCCATTTTGATTTCTTGAAATCTGACATCAGATTCGTAATCAGCGACCCAAAAAACCATAGAGTTATTAGCATAGAGTGCGCAAGCGACCAAAATGTTAGACAGCCATACGAAAAGTAGACCCCTTTTCTTTCTTTCTCTAATAACGCATGCGCGATAGTGAAACAGCTGATGCATCGAAACAATTGTTGCTTGCTGGCAATTATATTTTTCTTTTATTTACGTGACAAATAAATAATTTAAAAACATTTTTAGCAGGAAAAATGGTATTTTATGTTAATAAGTTTACCTGCTTTCAATTTATACTCATCGAAATAAGCAGCTCAAAATTAAAAATTTCAATTACTATAATATTATCGATACGACATCCAAACTAGAATTAAAAGTTGCGTCTTAACTTCAAATAACAGCCAAATAGCTTTTTTTCAACATGACTTTTTAATCCCACTCTACCCTATTTATTGTAAAATATTTATTTTACATTTAATTTTATTATATTTAAAACGATTTTTCATGCGATCTTTTTAGACAAAAACCTAACCAAAAACTTTTATTCTTGCACATGCGCCCTTAAACAAGGTAAGATAAGGGGTCTACTCTCATGCTTTTGTCTCTTTCTATGCGCCTAAGAATGCCTCTTACGGTAAAAGGTATAACTCGCGCACTCTATTCTAATAACTCTATGCAAAAAACCCATAGATACCTATGTTTAATTCAAATTTATTGATTTTAAAATTTTTATGTCCGCCATATTGGATCCGACTAACTGAAAGTCGGCACTCTATTGAAAAATCCACTATTTGTTAACTTCAATGGAGCTACATTTTAATAAATTTTATTTTTTTAAAGTAACTATTGGTTTTTTTACTTCAATACATCTATTGATGAGAAAAAATAAGTACTTATACAAAAATAATTAATTTATTTCTAGATATATTAAGTATTTCAATCAAAAACACTTTATTATTTTATCTCAAATGTTAAACTTTAAATAGTTCTAGAAGACACAATTTTTTATTATTTAACAAATCCTTTATGCAATAAATTACTTATTTACTATTAAATACTGTGGATAAATTCTTTTGTGCATATTTGAAAGTTGAAAAATTGTATTTTTGGCCAAAATTCGACGATCCTGGCCCACTGTGCAAGCTAAAGCCGAGACTTGATACTTATTTAAATAAAAATGATTTGAATTTCAACCCACTGAAGCATTGTGAAATGAAAAGTCTAATTCACGGAAAGCTGGGAAAGATTAAAAAAAATAATAGATATAAATGTGAAATACTTCTTCATGATGATTTCGGAAGCGCCCTTGGTGAAAAGCCTGAAGCCTCCACCTTCTCTGGGAACAACAGTAGACATACTTTTCCTAACGCTGTTGAAAGTATACACTCGAGTAAATGTTTCTTCGGGGTTATCGTCACGCACGTTTTGATAACTCTTGCCCAGAGCCACTACAAATCCCAATAAGGCACATTCGGTTTTGTTACCAACTTGCATCGGCAATTCAGTAGGGTCTTGTGAGGGCATTATTCTGGATGTGTATGCTGAATTAATAGATATTGATTGAATCAACAAATTGCCAACATGACTCGGAATATCCGAAAACGTGGAAGTTTTGCTCATTTTCTCGCAAATATATGATTGAACTACGGTCATTCTATTGGTCGTTAGAGTTCCCGTTTTATCCGAGCAAATGGCAGTAGCATTTCCCATAGTTTCACAAGCATCTAAGTGACGCACCAAATTATTATCTTTCATCATTTTCTGCAAAAAGAGGAACAATTAATCAAAGTTCACTTCATAACTTGCAAGTATTTACCCATGCAGCACGTAATATTTCGCAATAATATTAAAATGTCCGTTTCAAGCTAATACTACTTTTTGTTTTGAGAAAAAAGTCTTGAAAGCAGAAATAGAGCCTTGGACCTAATACAGAAGAGTCAAAAGTTTAGCCAATAAGCCAAACATGTAGAATACTTAAGTTCACAAACAAAACATAAACTGCGTATATTTTTTTTATTTATTCATATTTTCTTAATATTTACGTCATAAATGAAAATTTACTGCTTCCTATGGTATTAAAGCATAATTAAAATGATTTCAACTCTAATCACCTGATCAGAATTAAAATGCGTACTAAATTAAAAAGAATATAAATGTGCACAGATAAATTATCTCTAAAGAAATTAAAACACGAAAGCTTAAAAGTGACATTAGTTTGAAATTGAAATGATTGAAAATTGAGCAAGTGGTTATAAGTTTATGTAATTTTTAAGGTTGTGCAAAAAGCTCGAAAACTCGAGTAGAGTCGAGCAGGGTAGGGTTCGAGCTATGTCGACGACTACTCGAATCGATTCATGTTCTTGAAACTTTTCACTTTTGGGTTTAAGTGCACGGCCCGAAAATATTGGATCGAGTTTCAAGGTTTTTGCACACCTCTTGTAATTTTACATTCTAATATTACATGTACTTGGTTAATACATTTTAAGACGCATGAAAATATTCTAAATTCTACAACTTCTAACATTTGCATTTATGTTAAATAATGAACCGCAAAAACTTTAGAATCGTCATTGACATTCATATTATGTTTATTTAGGTCATTTTCCTATTAGATGCTGCTATAGAGGTCATACACATTGATGGCCAAATGAATCACCATGTAGTTGAACTGTGTCATGTGCAGCTAACTACTACTCAATAATTATCCCTATCTGAGAAAAATTCTATAATAACAACTCTTCCTGAAATCTTGATATTAAAGACGTTCTGCTGTATGCGACAATCTAGACAGAGTCGTTCACAAATTACATCACTTTATTTGGAATTAATTCGTCATACACAGCATGACCCCCATTCCTAGGAGTAACAACCGATTTATTTTCGTTAATCTAAAATTTGAGAGTATTGATATTTTCAAGAGGAGTTTACTCCAAATAAAAGCATAATTTATATGCCAAAGATTTTGAGAGAAGTGTCAGAATTTAGAAAATATTTATGCGTTTTTCTCATTCATTAACCGTAATAATAAAAGTTGCAAATACCTTAACTGAATATGCTAAAGACAGAGTAACAGCAAGTGGTAAGCCTTCAGGTACAGCAACGACCAGCACTGTTACACCAATGATTAAATGCCTCACTAATTCATTAGCATAGAAACTTTTCCATTCCTTTTTGTCAATGACAAAAGTTTTAACACAAAATTGAATGACTAGAATGACAACTGTGAGTACGGCTATCGTTGAACCTGCATAACCGATTTGAATAGCTAGTTTTGTTAACTTGGCTTGCAAGACACTTTTCTCTTTCTTTCCTGATTCTTCTGAATGTGCTGGAGCTGAACTATGGTGATTTTCTCCTCCCTCGTGCTTCACGGCACTACTGCCGTGGCTATTTCCAGTGATTTCTCCAGTTTCATTACCTTTTTTAAATAATACCGTCAATTATTATTTCAATTTAAATCCAATTAATTATATTATCTATATGAAAAAGACTTGATTATCTAATATTATATAATCATAAATGTGTAAGCATTCATTTTATTTTTTAAAAATATTTTTAGATTACTTTATGTTAAATTTATTTATTTATTTGTCATTTAAAGAATTTCTAGTACATTTACATTTATTATTAAATTATTGTTTAGTAATTTAATTTAAGGAGGGAAATATTTATTCAACGAAAGTTTTTTTAAAATGGAAAGATCAGAAAATCTTGAGATAACGTCTTATTGGGATATTATGGGTCGCTTTTAAGATTCTGAGATCAAAATAGCGTTTCTACTATTAGGGTAACTAATATGGTGGATAGAATAAAAAATGTGTTTCTTTTTTTAAAATAAAAGAATTTTTTCTTTGCATTTTATTTTATTTATTCTATTGGTAAAAAAATAGTTGTACTTTTTAACCATTTCAAGTTGTCGGTCTCAAAGTGTCGAAAAAATAACTGCACTTAATAGGCTTGAATCGAAAACTGCACCAACGCTTTAAAAATCATTAATCTTGCACTCATAAAATTCTGCTAACATGGAATTGCATTCTAAATTTTATTCAAAACGGTTACTTGGGGGTTTTCGAGGTCGCTGATTACAAACCTAAAGTCCAAATTTCAAAATTTAAAATGTCGGATTCATTATGGTGAAGAACTTTTTAATGTGTGTTTTGGATTTGTAACAACTTTGAATACGATTTAGTGAGATTTCGAACGTAAGTGCAACATTCGATTCAAACTTACCACACTAAAAAACTGTTGGAGGAACTGTTCGCCAATATGTGGAAGTGCTAAGACTAGAAATAGGAAAGATGTCTTGGCAACAATGCCTCGGCATTGGTTACAGATTACCTATTAAGGGAGGTGGCTTCGGAAAAGTACAATCATTTAAAATTACTTTGAATTCTTATTTAATTTCTATAAAGTTAAATTAAAATTAAATAAAAATGCAACTCTACTTTTTCGAAACCACCTCCCACAAAAACCTGTAATGTTGTTCCCACTTCTCCATATGTGAAAACAGTGTGCTGTTTTAAGCACACGCAGTTGTCAGGTAAATCATTGTAACTACTGTTTGATAATGGTTTTTAAACCAACTACTTTATCCGCCAATGGTATACACGAAATACATTGGAAAAAATGATTTTGGTTTAAAAATATTAAAAAAAAGAAATAACTATTTTTTTCTTCTATCCGCCTTAATGGACTTCTTGAAGGACGAAACTCTAATGACCTATATCAATGGTTTTTAAATTTTTTGATCTTTCGTTGAAACTAAGACAAAAATTCAATGTTGTTGCTTGGTCACCTTTCTTTCTCTTATGGGTTTATGGCTACTTTCAGCCAAGACACAACATTTCAGCGGACGAATCCTTGTTGTGCGGTGTAATTTCGCAGTAAAAAGAAGTATCTTAATTTCAGACATTTTGGTGGGCACCTTTTCGCTAATTGAAATATCTTACTTAAGATGTTAAAAATATCTTCGCAACTTTGCTTCATACATTTTTATATTTTTAAGAGAAGAATGCTCAGGTTAACTATAGGCAAAAACAAAACGCTTTATGCATTTTTCACAAGAAGACTAGAGACAGGAGATAAAACCCGGCTGTTTTCTCATGCAGAGCAGTGATTGCGCCAAATATATATTTACGATTCTGCGCATCTCACACACGCTTACATTTTCTAAGGAAGTATATGTGACACGGACAGTTAAAAGGGACCTACGGTCCGAAAAAATCGATTTTCATATTTTATTGATTCTTATAGTAAATAGGCCGCTCTTTCCAACGCATTAAACTGCAGCTTTCTAGCTGCATTAGTTTTTTCACAATTTCACTTCAAAGTTAGGTACTTTGACAAAAAAATACAACAAAATCAAATTTGAATCAAATTTTTTTTTCTGAAATTAATCAAATTCAATTGAAAATCGTTACTCGGGGGTTTTTGGGGTCGCTGATTACGAATATGATGTTAGTTTTTAAAAATTCAAAATGGCGGATCCAATATGGCGGACGAGTTATTTACAAATTATACGGATTTGCTTTTCAGAATTTTTAAATGTATGATTTTAATACAAATATGTATATGGTCTTTTAAATGAACAAACAGAATATTCATAACTTTATTATTTATTTTACAAATTTACTTTAATGAAGAACACAATAACTAAAAAGACGTGAGACAAAGAAAAACACGATAAAGAACTTAAGATTAAGAATTTAAAAGATTATAATCTTAAAAAATTCACAAATTTAGAATGATTAAAAACTTTGTTTTTTAAAATTAATTCTGCTTCTTACATATTTTTTTCTTGGATTTAACTTTTGTAACTGATATATCAGTTTTTCTTTTCTTTGTCACGGTAACCAAACTCTTTTCTTTTATTTACGCGCAGTAAACATAGAAATGAAGCTAATACTTCAGTTCTGACACTAATGACAAAATGTTAACTTTGTCCCACCACCGATGGTGTTTGTTACATAATAAATTAATAAATGCTTCCTTTAAAGCTACTGCATTAAGAAAAATGCTTGGAATAAAATAACTACAAGAACAAAATAACTATGACATTGGTAAGAACAATTAAACACATCATTAATACAAATAAATACTAATTTAGATAGAGATCCAGAAACCCATCTGTTTCCTAATCATCGACCCCAAAGTACCCCTAAAGTATAAATTAATATGTGAATCCAAACATTTTTTTAAACTACGTCCACTATATTGAATCCGACATTTTGAATTTCGAAAAACGAACATCGGATTCTTAATCAGTGACCTCGTTTTCGGTGTCAACGAAATTTTTTAGTTTTACACGAATTTGAACAAATTTTAAATATTGTCCTCCATATTGGAACCGACATTTAAAATTTTTAAAAACTAACATCGGATTCGTAATCAGCGACCCCAAAAACCCCCGAGTAACGAGTTTCAATTCATTAATACGTTCACAAGTATCAAAATCAACTTGCTAAACTTCAAAGTCGTTTTTCTCGAAATCTGTTTTTCGGATCGTAGGTCCCTTTTAACTGTTCGTGTCACATATATAGTTAAATGTGTGTGCGGATGTGCAGAATCAAAACACGATATTTGGTGCAATCTAGACAAGCCTTCATAACCACACTATTTCTGTCTCTTTCTATTTTCTGTCCCACTTCAACGCAATGACGATAATTGTGTACCTAATGTTTGTTTCAACACTTATTTACACAATTAAGGTCCATGTCCGAACTAAGAGTAGTCGATGGCACAGTGGCACATTTTACAAAATCTACCCACGAAACATAGAACGCGGTTGCAAAATGGGAAATACCACACGGAAAGAAAAATCAAGCGTTTGTAGCATGGAGCCCTCCTATGCTAATTTTGTATGGACGTTCCTGCTTAAGGGGTTACGTACAGTTAGAGCTTCAAAAAAGAGCTATTTTTTTTAGAAATTTCTTGTGGCCACACATTAAAATAATTATCATCTAAATTCTCAAGTTACAGTGATCTCTGGCTCCCAAAACATGGTTTTGAGAAAAACGAGTTCAAAGTTTTGACTACTGCCACCTGGCCACAGAAACGGCTGAGACGGCTCCATTCAAAATTCTGTATCTCCATAAGTAATGGTCCGATTAGTCTCAAATTTTCAGCGAATACTTTTGAAATGTTATATTTTTAGAAAATGAAATTTAAAAAAAATCGAATTTTTGAAAATTCTAACTGTAGAGGAGACTTGGGCTAAACCAGACAAGTCAAATATTTGCGAAACCATGAAAAATTTCAAATACATAATGTAAATAACCTGTGAACGCACTATTTCGTGATGCATATGTTGCATGAGGTTTTATGGACATGTCATTTTTTTTGTAATAATAGTTGCCGTTAATATATAAAAATGTCGTTTTTCGCAGTAACCCGTGTAGAAATTTAACCATGGCCCAAATCGGGGCCAGATCTTTTGATCATTGTGTAGGCCATATGGCCTAAATATGGCAATTTCTACACGGGAAAAGTTAAAAAAAAAAATTTTCTCATTTTTTTGGGTTTTTATCGTTATAATTAAAGTGCACATATCATATGGCAATTTTTTTATTAGCTGAATGTGTACTGAGAGTAGTAGAAAAAAAGTTTAATGGAAAACGTTAAGAAGAAAAAATTAATTGCAGGTTAATTATTAGATGACGGTGTGGGGCTAAATCGGACGTCGTGATAAAAACAATCAAATTTGCGAATAACTATAATTTATTTTATATTAATGAACTATCTTATATTATATTCTTTGCATAAAACCACTTTATTAATAAATAAATAAAGAATTTATTTTAAAACACTAATTAGCAAGCGAGCAAAGAATTGATTTGAATTTTCTACAAAAAAAACTGAAATTTGTGTCTCTCTCTTTAATTAATTTGCCGTGTCCGGTTTAGCCCCACCAATTTCGGGATTTTCGTTTTTGAGGTAGTCACCTTCAAAGCAATATATCACCGAAGCTACTAAAGTTTTTTAAAAACGAACAAGTGCGATTTGTAGGTGAAGGAACAAGCTTCAAAACGGTATATTACTCTTTAGCAAAAAATATTTTTTCTATGAGTTTTCTGGTCAAAGACCAAATCCGTCCGGTTTAGCCCCGGTCTCCCCTACGTAACCCCTTAAGAGGCGTAGCCTTATACTACGGTTGCATGAAACATATAGAGAAAAACTTTTATGCTCTCATCGTATAAATTCATACTAATACAGTATAAATTTTACGCCTATTGCGCTTGATTTTTCTCTCCATGCATATAGTAATGTAATGACAGGCGGCAAGACGTGTATTACAGTTGCGACCGGATATTTTAATTAAAAATAATATTTTTAATACGAGCATCTAATCCGTTCGTTAGTTCGCTTTCCTGCAATTTAATCCAAACAACTCGACTAACAACAACACCAACGAGACAATAC